TGGGAAGAGCATTCGCAAAGCCCAGCGAGGCTTCGCCAACTATAAGACCAAGATGACTGCACTCCGATACCTCGACGGGACACTTACAGCTTCGAAAAGGGCTATGGGAAAAATCATCCACCAATACTACTCGAATCTCTTCGCTAGCCATGTCCCCATACCGTCATATAAATTGAAAGAGGACGAATATGTCGTTCCACCGGTCCTCCCTTCCGAAATCCGTCGTGCTATATCGTCGGTGAAAAATAGAACAACACCCGGTCCAGACATGATAAGTCCAGAACACCTGAAGAACCTGCCGCCAGTTCTCATCAACACCATGTCTCGGCTCTTCACTCGCTACCTGTCAGAATGCAAGGTCCCTATTCAATGGAGAACCAGCAAGACCGTATTGATGTTCAAAATGGGAGACCTTCACGTTATAGAGAATTATCGCCCAATCTGCTTGCTGTCTATAAACTCTTTACTCGAGTCATCCTAAACAGGATTGACAGAACATTTGACGAAGGACAGCCATGCGAACAAGCAGAGTTCCGATAAGGATTTAATACCATAGAATACATCCACACGATTACGAGACTCATTGAAGTTTCACGAGAGTACAAACAACCACTCTGTCTCACTTTCATCGACCTGAAGAAAGCCTTTGATTCAGTGGGACCAGAAGCGGTTATAGAGGCTCTGGATAACCAGGGCGTCCCTACTCGGTACATAATGATCCTTCGTGAGCTCTATAAAGATTTCAAGACCAATATATGTCCATTCTACAACAATAGCACCATTGACATAAGAAGAGGGGTTCGACAAGTCGATACAATTTAGCCAAAACTATTAACTGCCACCCTACAAAACGTCATGCGAACATTAGAATGGGACGAAATGGGATTGATAATTGACGGTCGATAATTAAACCATCTTCGCTTTGCTGACAATATCGTTTTCATATACCAAACATCAGCCAAGCGTAACGAATGTTGACCGATTTCGATAACGCCTGTGGAGAGATTGCTCTTCAACTAAATCTAACGAAAACGATGTTCATGAGGAACAGATGGGTTTTGAGTTCCCCATTCACGCACAACGGAACGACAATCTCCGAATGCTCCAGTTACGTTTATCTAGGCCGTGAAATCAACCTGATGAACGACCTAGCTCCAGAGTTGAGCAGGAGGAAACGAGCGGCTTGGGGAACCTTTAAGGGTATCAAAGATGTAGTGAAGAGGATTAAGAACATCCGAATCCGTGCCCACCTTTTCGACTCGGCAATTATCCCTGCCCTAACGTATGCAGCAGAAACCTGGTTTCTACATAAGCAGGATGATAAATCACTTGGCGTTATCGAACGCGCAGTCGAAAGGTCGATGCTAAGAGTATCCCGTATCTAGCAAATGAGAGAAAGGATCCGAAGTTCCGACCTACGTCAAAGATCGAAAATCAAGACGCCGTTCTACACGCCAGGATATCAAAAATAAGGTAGACCGGACACGTGATGAGCTTCATCGACAACAGATGGACGAGAGCCGTTAGGGAGTGGATTCCGCGGAACGTCAGGCGCGTTAAAGGAGACCACTGACCCGTTGGTCTGATTTTTTCACGAAAGCGATAGAAGAAAGATATGATGCTCAGCGAATCCCTAGAGCGAGGAGGACCCACTAGGCTACTCTTGCACGCGATAGGGAAAAATGGAAGTGTTGCTGATACCCGCTCGAGTCACTCGACGACCAACGGGACGACAGGTGACACAGGTGAACCGAGAATTGATACTTTTTATCCTCAATGAAGTCTCGTCAGTTAGGCAGAACCCTTCGTCTTCTAGCCAATCCTTTGTTGGTGCTCCAGCCCCTATACTAAGAGCTAGTGACGACGAACGATTCACATTGCGCTGCTGTCAAGTGAAATCACTGGAACAGCAGTTTTGTACACTCGATTGCTCTTGGCTAGCTCTGAAGGGTTCTGCCCAACTCACGAGACTGTAAGGTCGAAACATGTGTATCGGTGTGGACAAGAGCCCATTTAACACACCACTTGACAAGTTGGCTCGGATGGTAATCACTTTTATTCGGCCAATTCTTCATTTATTAGTTAAATTGAAAGATATGTTAAAATTTGGGCGTGGTCATATGAAAACACTCGGAAAGAACGGTATAATATACCTTAATGAAGTAGTCTGGATTTATGAGAGACACGTAGTCGCCTTCGCGGATGACGTGGCTTCGCTATTTCCACGTGCGCACTTGAAGTGAGTTCCAGCCAGTGCAACGGTCGTATGGATTCACTTCAAATTCCATCAGCACATCACTACGATACGCATCCAAGAATTGGTCAGTCCTCTTTTCGATGTATATTCTTTGGCCTTGAAGCAAATATTTGCAGAATTTTATACATAAAGAACATTGGAAGAACTGATAAACTAGGGAAATTCATAGTGGTAGCAGTAGTAACGAGACATTAATCATAATTAAGGTAAGGTGTAGAGCACTGCTGCACTCTCAGTCGTTTGATATTTTGAATTTGCATTCACTAAAAAAATTGACTACCTATCGAAATTCTTAATTGAACCGCGAAACACTCTTGGTCATATTATAAGGTCATACGTAGATACGGTGTCGTAAATAGCAAACTAAAGGAAGTTTTTGCTTCTTTTAAATATTCAACTCGGTAGAAGTTAGAGTGACAGCAGCGTCTAACACTGCCATTTCAGAATGATTATGAATTAACTAGCATTTCAGCATACCAAACAGTTCATTCTGTCACTGGACCACTAATAGTTGTGAAAGGTGTCAAATTTCCCTTATACGGCGAAATCGTACACATTACACTCAAAGATGGCTCACAGCGCATAGGACAAGTACTTGAGACCAGAGGCCATAAAGCCGTAATTCAGGTATGTTGGTAGAGAATTTTCTTCGACCTGATTTTCAAAATCGCTGGTTTTGTTCCTGGAATGCAGTCGTTAGAGGGTGGATCTCCTATTGATGACTACGAGAGATGTCTGAAGACAGCACATATTAAGCCTTTTACGAGGTCTATTACGGCACTAATGCAGTGCAATTCACGTGGTCATGTTTCGTCCGGTGATCATGTCAGTGGACACGCAGTGATATGTTATCCGTGGGTGAAGTTAATTTTCAATTTGCACAAGGTGTAACGCGTTCGTCGATAATTCCCTATGTAAGGGGCGTTTGGTTCCCCCGAGAGGATTCGCTAAAGACGAAGGGCCTGCCCGACTGACGAGGCTGGAGGGCCGAAACACGTGTATCGGGCAGAACAAGAGTCCATAACAGACCACGTGACATGTTGGCTCAAGTAGTAATTATGTAATATATTGAAATTTGAGCGTGGGTCTTAAAAAAGCATTCGAAGTAAACAAAAAAAAATTGATCAAATTCATTATGTTCTTGAATCTAAACTTGAAAGTGGCAAACATTATTAACAATTTTTCGTACTCGAAATTGCAGCAACCTTCAAAGAAACAATCATATATAAAAAATATTAACTCTTTTACCATGATTTTGCAGAAACTGTCAATAAAGATTTGCGCTGTTGCTGTTCTACTGTGTTTATTTCATTTGTTCCCTTTTCCATTCGTTTGATATTTTTGGTGGTAGTAATAAGATGCATCGGAGATTTTTTTTTCCAAGATCATATCAGATGTGCAGGAGAAATCAAAAAACAAATATCTTTTCTTGAAGATATGCTTACATCGCAGAAACTTGTGTAGTAAAATGGAAATATCTCTTCATAAAAGGAGCGGATGAACTATTTCTTAACATTGCCGAAAATCACGTCCGGCGAAGACTACGACGCTCTAAAATTTATGCTTACTGGCATAACTGCGTTAAGTCCAGCTACCTGCGCTGTGCAGCTGACCCACTCAAAAAGTGCTAATTGTGTCACTCAATTACTGTGTTTCAGTGGGACTCGAATTCACTGAAGTATTTGAGAAGTTGAACTTGAAGTTTTAACTATATGTATTCCTCTCTTTTTTGTAGGTTTTCGAAGGTACAGTAGGCATTGACGTGAAGCATACTATTTGTGAGTTCACTGGTGATGTGTTACGAATGCCAGTTAGTGAAGATATACTCGGCCGGACGTTCAATGGCTCCGGAAAACCCATTGATAAGGTTTTTTTTTCTTTCTGAGACTTGGTCGACACCATGAACAAACATTTGCACGTTTATCAAAAACACTGCATGGTCTGTGCTGTTAAATATGCTTGTATGTATTTATTAATCCTTTCACAGCGGAACAGCCACCTTATCGTTGGCTTTTTATTGTAGCGTTTCACTGCAAAGCGATAATAAATGCACCGAAATTTGTGTTCATTTGGAATTCGGTAATTAGTAAAGGCATGGTAAATTGGTTTAGTGTAATCATTAATCGCTCAGATGCTTTGGTTTTTTCCCTCTTTAGTGGGAGGAAAAGAAATTTTAAGCCGTAAAAGGTAGACTAGAGAGACGTGATTCAAAGTCCAAAAATGGCGCGTGCATTGGAATTTGTACGCACCAGGCAAAATACCTGAGACACGTATGTATCGAAATCTGTACACACAGTCGTAAAGGGCTAATCTTAATCAGTACTTATGATTTCATCTTCACAAAACGCCTCGATCCTCTATTCACTAGGGACCGCATATTTGCGCAGAAGACTTCATGGATGTAAATGGAATGGCAGTAAATCCGTATATGCGCAAATATCCGGATCGAACGATCGAGACTGGAATATCAACAATCGACGTGATGAGCACCATAGCAAAGGGACAGGTATATAGGCGCCAGTACTTGTCAGATATGTAAAAGTTCGTCAAATATGCCCAGGTAGTTTATCAATGTCAAAGATTCAAATTCTAATCTTGAGGCGTTAAATACGAAGAAGTTCGATAAGTCTTTCTTGTCTTTTATGAAGAGCTAGATTATCACTTCAATTTATCTCTTGTTCCATTTATTTATAAGAAACTATCATTTCTACATTCTTGTTTAACTGAGAGAATTGAGTGGTGAGCAGTAGTAGTAGTGGTAGTAGCACGCGTTCCCGATATGGATGAAACGCGGGTTCGATTCTCGTCTGAGGCCGTGTTTTTGCTCACCACTCAAATCTCTTAGTTATATATGCAACATAATAAGACTGCGAAAAATAAAGCGAAAGCGCTAGAAATTACGAGTATTTTTCACAATCCATTAATTCATTCTTTGTCGTAGAGTTGTGAATTTTCCTGCCCCAATTTGACCTGAAAATCCCTTCTCATGGACACTGTTTACGAAACTGAGTAGTTAATCATTTAAAATTCTTAAAATTCGAGAGAAGAGAACTTTTGAAGGTAGTTCATGTAAAATATCTGGGCTTGACGTCCTGCCCCCTAGACACGAAATCGCGTCTCCTTAGCAAAAAGCACAGTATAGCAGTTTGTCTCAACCGAGATCTAGTCGATGTTTCATTTCAGAAAATAGCAATATTTTCTGGATGTGGTCTTCCTCACAACGAGATCGCAGCTCAAATCGTTCGTCAAGCTGGCAAGTTCAATTTATTTTCGCTTCATAACAATCTAATGCTCTCAGTTCAAATCGGTACTGCATTCTACGCATAACATTTAGAACGTTACATGAGCAAATAAAATGAATTTCTTTTAAAATAGCTGAAAATTGCAGTACTTGAGTTTGAATCAATCGATGGCAACAAAATTGCGGAGTCTCTCATAAATTCACAAGCATGAGTGTTTTCTAAAAAATTTGGAGATGATTTGAAGACTACACAACATTTCATAAACCTAAATAATACTGGTGATTCCGACGTCAATATCAATTTTCAAAGAGTTTATTGCATAGAAAATGTCATATATGACAAATGTTTACGGATGAATACAAGATTTCATAATGTTAATGTTTCACTATGTACCATGAACGATAGTCACAATCTCAAAACTAGTTCGTTAAATGTGTGGTTTACATAGTGAAAGGTATCATAATATAACAAGTAGCCTACATGGTCAAGTGAAAAGCTAGTTCAGTTGATGCCCCTGCCTCGAGCAGAACTTCACATAAAATTACATTTCTAGAATTTATTGATAATGGCGAGAATGACTACCAGAAATTCGTGTAATACTCATCAAAGTACGATTTTATGCAGGAGCATATGCATCACAAAGAATCATTTACTAGAGATTCGATGTCCTATTTAGTATCTTCTTTAGAGAATAGGTGGCATTAAAACACCTAGCACTCAATCAGGCAAAGCTGCGAAGGACTTTTGAGAGGCGTAATCCTCACTTGCACGTTAATGTATTTCGGCGAAATCTTCTGCAGCTGCTCTTGTGATAGTGATTAGCTAAAGGTTGCTTCCCTGATTTGTTTGTCACACGGATCTTTTCCTTATCGCCGTGGATCGAACAACTTCAGACATGGTAATTAAACCTCTGCATATAATAACATGGCATAACAATAACAAGATAGCAATATGATGGATGTACCAATAAATTAGACCGCTCATATCGATTATCCGGTAAAGTGTGGAGAAATAATCTCTTTCAATGACAAAATCTTCATGAGAATGATAGCAATCATTCGAAAGATTGAATCTCGGGCTACTTCACTACATGCCTATTTTTCTTACAGGCTTCTTATAGCGCGGTTGCATTCAAAATAAAATTGTGTTTCATAAGTCCCACCTGCTCTTCTCGTTTGCTTATATTTTACTGCACAAAACTCCTTAGATTGATGGCGGTCGGTCGGTAACTTTTGTCTTGAAGAATCAAAAGTGTGTTTGCTTAGAGAAAAAGCTCCTTTAACAGCGGTGCAGCAAAAAGAAAATTATTTGTGTTTCATGTAAGCTTTCGCAGGGCATAGCTTTTCCTCGAATTATGAGCAACCATTTGATAGCCAAAGTTTCGACGATCTCAAAGCTCCGCATATTTTATGAGAAGGTCATTCAACTTCAGTGTAGCAATGAAATTTAGGTCGAATTTCACATGTGCCACGCAAATGCTTGTCGGCTAGTGTAAGTGCTGGGTTCGGCTCGCGTGTGTGTGCTGGGTATATGTTGCCCGTGGATCGGCAGCTCGATCAATAGACGCGCAGCGCGTTGCACATGTGAGATGCGATTTCGCTATTAAAATTGGGACTTTTCTCTGCTTCAAAAAAAAACTCCACGTAAAACGTATGACTCTCGTGCTACAAAAATTCCTATACACGTTGATATGCTCTCAGTGCCTCCAGCGAACTTCAAGCGTAGTAAAAATTGAGACACGCCATAGGTTGAAATATAATTTCTTTCGAATGCTAAGATGCACAAAGAAAACCTTTTCAAAAAACGAGCGCGTAGTGCAGTGGCCTATGTTTGAGCTATCAAATGATTACTAACATCCTCATGAAAAAGTTCTTGTTCAGCGAACGCGACCGTTTCTTTAGTCCATGCCGGATAATCGGATAATTGATCCAACTAGAAAAATAATACACGACTATTGGTCGAGTTAGTGAAGATAAGCAGTTACATGAGCGCTGGCGAACAGATTTCTGATTTGTAATGGAGGCTGTGATTAAGAGCTCGCTTCTGGATTATATACGTGAAATAGATACGCATGGAAACATCCAACACGAGCCGGAATATTTCAAGTCATCTTGCAGGTGCTAGCCTTTGACTAGCTAAAAAACACAAGTTCGGCGATCAGCTGCAAGGCGAAAAGCCAATCATCTGCCAGCCGAAGGCACTAGATTCGCTGCTTGATTATGATAATAATCTACAAGTCGAATGTTGAGCATTTGCTGATATGCGATAGAGTCAAGCATGGCTCAGAGAAAAAACTGCTATACGCTTGATTCGGAAACAGCATCCCATCGCAGTTATTAAGTGCCTCATTAAGGGAATTCCTACGTTAGTCTTATGGAGATAACAATGAAACGAAGGTTGCAGAACCTACCCACTCTGTCAAGCTAGCAACGATATAAACGCTCTGAGAGGAGGAGTGAAGGAAACCCTAAATGTGGGCCTAATTCAACAACGTTTTGGGGTGGACAACTACATTTGCTAGTAACGCAACGTCTTGAATGTTCAAGAAGAAGGAACGGTCTTTTTTTTAGTTGAATAATGAAAATCCCACTGCGTAGTCAAGCTTCTCTATCTAGTTCAGAAAGTTGTATCCCCAATAACCTAGAAGAAATTTGCAGCAAATGAAATATGAAAAAGTAAATCCTAATTTGATGTGTTATACTTTTAAGTGAAGGGCGCATGTGGCGCAGTGGTTAGAGGTGCCCTGCGTCGCACACGTGGTCGATGGTTCGATCTCGCGCTCAGGGCTTACCAAGTCGCTCATCCCTCCGGGGCGGTAAATTGGTACCATACTGGCTCAGACTTGTCTGGGAGGATAAGCAGCGCTGATTCGGTTCAGCGGGAGGCCACCGCGAGTCATTGTAAAGGCCAGATATGCATTCAATCATTTCAAACGGAGTTAGAAATTGAAGACGAATGCATGGCGCATCCCTCAGGGCTTGATAAACGTCGAGAGCTTCATCCTTCATCCTTTATACTTGTGAGACTCTCCTCTGCTTCATAAATAGTAGAAGTGAAAGGTATCACTTTTGGTCACTTTATAGCTTTGCCAGCGCATTCGACATTATTACGTCTCGTTAAGGTGACTGAATGTAAGTGCCACATTTGCGTTTTAGCGCAAGAGGAAGCGCATCATATTAAGCCTTTGACAAATCCAGTGCAGGGAACTTCTGCAGTATACGTCGTACCAAACATCTGAGGTTGATATAAGACACAGATGAGAAAGAATTTTATAACAGCGAAATTCAACATCCGAAGAATTTGTGAATATTCTACTTATATGTGTGCCCTAAAGCTAAGTAGTGATTTAGCTTCGAAGGAACTGAATGAAAACTCTGTCAACGCCTTTAAAAAATAATAGTAATGTTAAGCGATTGTCACTTTTCTTAGCAAAGTACGATGTGCAGCACAACTACAAGGATGCTAAGGTATGAACAAAACACTTAACCTTTTGCTTCAAAATCATTAATCCTCTTCCAAGAGTCTCACATGCTATACACCACATCATGTGTAGTCGCGGGTTTGAAGTTGAATGAGGGCTCCGCAGTTTCCTTATGTGTCAGCATCCTAATACTCATAGAACTGTGGCCGCCAAAACTAATACAAGCCGTGGCACAGTGATATCACCTTAACCCTTCCGGGACCATGGACCCGGTCCACTGCATCTCTAACTGGCAGCGCTGGACGGTCTGCTTTGTCCTCTCTGTATCTCCAACCTCCAGCGTTGATTTCACTGTCTGTCCCACTCCTCTCTAGCGTCGGCACCCCGTTAATCGGGAAGAACGTTGCTGTTACGATCCCCTATCAACGTTTCATTGTAATTTTCAGTTTATCTCCTTGTTATCACTATAGTATGCTGATTCGAGCATATTATAGTGAAACAGAGAGATAACACAAAAAACCGTGGCAAAGTGCTGTGGTGAAGTTTCGAATCAACAACCTTCTTCCCGATGGACGGAATGCCGAGTGGCAGAAAGGAATGGGACAGACAGTGATTTCAACGCTCGAGTTGCAGAGGCAGAGCACATGAAGCGGACCGTACTGCGCTGCCAATTAGAGATGCAGTGGCCCAGGTCCATGGTCGCGAAAGGGCCAAAGATGAATACATATTATATAACTAGTTAATATCATGCATGAAATCAACGAATGTCATGGAAACATTCGAGGTGCTTTTTTACGCGCACCAAATTTCTAACAACAATCTCAAACAAGAACTTTTCCTTGAGATATCGACCGTTTAGGTTTGTTCGAAAAAGGTGGTACACACGAGTTTGCTGTTATTTTTGCTGCTATGGGAATTAATATGGAGACGGCAAGACATTTTGTGCAGGATTTTGAGGAAAGAGGTGAACATGATTGGCTCGAAAGTGCTATCAAAGAGACATTGGCGTAGTTTGACCAAAATCATATCAATCCATTATGAAACCATTCCGGGGTTTAAAAGCAGAGAAGATTACTCTCCTGTGATTTGTTCATAGTTCAAATATTCGTGGACCGTTGGTAACTCTGACTAGTGGCAGCTTTTATTCTGTGA